ATAACACATGTAAACTTGCTAAACCTCCAGGTCATAGCATTGCTTTTCGTAATCTCTCGCTAGCAAAAACCGCCACGCGGTGAGTTGGCAAGACTCCACCTCCACACGAATCTGGGAGCCGATGATACAATTATAAGCAAGTTGCTTGCACATTTTTATAACCCATATAAGTAACTTTCAAAAATTTCGCGACCCAATCTCGGGGGGGGGGGAGGCGCACCCCCCCCCCTCGGTACGCCAGTACGCCACTGGTATATCATGACTTATAATAACGGGCTAAGGATGTTTACGTGACTTTGTCTGTGTGTGTGTCTGTTACGAAATTTGTGGAGCATGTTCCAGCAAACGTCCTGGGCCCAAATTTTGCACAGGACATGCTACCAGCACAAAACTCCACCATGCAAAAGCATGAGCGGATTCGTTGAATAGAACTCACAGAAAACGGGTCCACTTCGCTTCTGACCCACAAAATTGGGTCCCTATCAGCACTTACGAAGTCGTTGAGGTGTTTGACAGTCAAATGTGCAAGCCTTGGACTCTAGCCCAAATAACGGGCAAAAATCTACTACTTTGCGAAAATGACGCCAAAATGGACTGGTTGCGTAAATGGTCAATTTGCCAAGGTTTTAGCTAAGCGTTTGAGAAGATTTTCGCATAGAGATGTAGCTCAAGGTTATCATTACCTTTATGGCGACTACCAAATCATGACAAATCCAAAAACCTATTCAAATTTGCGTTTGTCTTCCTGCGAAAAGTTTCATCCACGCGAAATGACCGATCTCACGTGAAAAGACTTTCTAAATGAGTGGTTGTTTACATTTTATTCGTGGTAGTCGGCATAGAGCGGTGAGTTCCAGTGCCACGTTACGAGAATGAGTAAGGCACATAGATATTAGAGCCAGTGCGAACCTCTGCGAAGCAGAGGTGACGCACTGGTAGATAGATAGCATAGCATACATTCGTATGGCCATCTTGCTCCATTAGTTATTTTCTCATTGCCTTTTTTCTGGCATGCTTATGGCCTGAGAGGCTCTCTTATTACATACGCAGTTTAGTGTTTGTCATCTAAATTTGACATCGTCTTTGTCGTGTAGTTTTATATGTTTGACTCTTATCCTTGATCATCTTGTATCCAAGCCCGATTTAGTGTTGGTGGCAGGGTCAAGCTTGTGATGCGACTGTCGCAACGGGGGGTCGCAAAGAGGGTGCCTAAGGTGGGGGGGGGGGTCGTAAAAGGAGGTAGTTGTTTTAAAATACCCTAAGCTTAAAAGGGAATCAAAAAGCAGATAATTAGTTATGTTCTTTACAATAAATTTATAAAAAAGTGGAAATCAGAATAAAAAAGATAAAAAATGTGTAGAAATCTTTAAAAAAACATTTACAAGAGCTCAAAACAATTTTGAAGGATGTATTATTTGATAAAAATGCTAAATGTACTGATTGTCCTAGATGTCTTGCTTCTGAAGCCTTCCTGAAGTCTCACACACTCGACAAAAGCGAATGTCTTTACCAACTGTGACCATCATAAAATTCTAAATCTTTTTGTAATGTTTCTCACGGGCTCATATGATTTATCTGTACTTTAGAGATGCTCGGCTATATCAGTGCAAAATTTGGTGTTATTTTGTCAACTGTGGATTTTCTTATGATTTTATGTATGGTAGCAAAAAGTCAGGAAAGGAGGATCGTATCTGGGTCGCATCTAAATTTCTTCGAAGCTATTGAAGCTTATTGGCTGCAATTCTGCTGTAATATGAGGCCATCCTTCTACTTTCCCTCATAAAAATTGTAGGCTGTTTTATAACTTCTCTGGTAAGTTACAAAATTTTAAGCTCAAAAATCCCAGTTTTTGCTTTTTAGGATCGCATCTAAATTTGCGAGAGTCGCATCTAAATTTTTTTCGAGCTTACTGCTCCTCAAGAGCTGAAACTTTTTCTTTGGATAGTCTGGGCACCATACTACAGAACCTATGCTTTGTAGCCTCTCAGCCTTTTCCTGGTCTTAGTTACGAATTTTCAAACTACCGCGCGCATGCATGTTTTTGACGTCGTTCTGGACGGCGCTCAAGCGGTTTTTTCGCGGGAAAAACTGTGGAAGAGGTAGGAAGTAAGCTTCTTAGTCGGAAACATCTTTTGTAGTTCAAGAATGTCATTTTTTCTCCGTGCAAAAATTTGTATCGCCTTCTGGAATCGAATTTGCTGGTCTGAAGCATGCCTGGAAATTCAGAAAAAAAAACTTGCATCTCAAACATTATTAAAGGTGTGTATGTGTGCTACAGATGCTGGGCGCACCTATTGGCCTAGAAACTCTGCTTCTGAAACCTCACTGAAGTTCTCACGCAAGTGTTTTTTGAGATCGACATTCGTTTACGCAGGTTACCGCGAGGAATGTGGGCAGGGGAGGTAAGGGGATAAATGGGAGAGGGTGGGGGGGGGGGGGGGAAGGGCGGGGGATCGTACGGATGGGTACCTATAAGGGGGGGGGGTCGTAAATAATGGTCCCGGATCGCATCAGCACGCTTGACCACCAACTTGGTGGGGTAGCCGAACGAGGTTTCCTGCCCGCCGGGTACGGATGATTTCGCTCATTCGTCGGGTGCTCATCCCTCTTTCTTCGCTCGAAAGTGACCTTATATTTCTATGCCGTCACGCATCTTACTTGGACTTCTACTTATACTAAGTTTAGCCCCACGACACTGACTCTGAAGACAACACTGATCATCTTGATTAGAGAGTTACTCGCCTTAATTTTTCTAGGGTGTTGAGTATGTCACAATTTCGTTTCATTACTGTCTTTGTCTGTCGTTTCACTCGTGTCTTTGTACTGGCGCACTGTGCACAAACAGTGTATCATAAATAAATAAATAAATAATTTCTTCGTTACTTTCAGTGCGGTAAGAGTGAGACTTATAGGACAGTCTGAGACAAGCGCCTCAAAAATTTTAGTCGTATTACATACACTTAGTGATGAGATACACGGTATTTGGCAAGTTCCTGGTCTCAGTTACTTCGAATGCAGATTTTAAACGCTCTTCTTTGTTTCATCGCAATAGCTAAAGCTAAAGACCACTTCAATCAAAAAAGAAAGGATAAAGAATATGGCAAAAGGCCTGGAATATTACTTTTTTGGGGCCTCTGAAGAAGGAAATTGTGTTTTTTTTCAGGAATTCACTTGGCCTTTCCAAGTGAATTCCTGAAAAGTAACGGAAACAGCTTCCCATTTTTCATAGCAACGCCAAAACGGCTAAACATTTTGAACCTTCAAGGTTGGCTCAAGCTGCAATAGCTTCAGATTCATGATTTTTTTTATACAGAACAGGACAAAACCGTTCAAGTTTGCTGTGATTTTGCCTCCCTCTTTCGGTGATATGCTCCGCGCCGTAATCATGCTCCATTCGTAAGCCGATAGTTTTTGCGCGAAGTTTTGTCTTTTGAAACTCGTTTACGGGAAGAACATTTGCTTTGTTTTCAACCACTTTCTATGCAAGATAGATATATGTATAGTACTGTCTAATACTCCATCGTTCTCCAAGATGTTAAGCGCAATAAAGACTTCATGTTTTTTCCATCGCTCCTTCGTGTTTCCTTATTTTCTTCACTTTTCTAGTGGAATCCCTTTCTGTTTCTTGTGAATCATCCGTTGTATGCGCGTAGTTGTGACATGTGCGAGCGTTTCGATAAATGTTGACGCTATGCTTCGTTCTCATCTTAACATTCGATTATCTGATGTTATATAGGCAAACTAATCTTCTCCACTTACAAATTGAAGTTGAAGCGTTAAGAGACAACATCATTATCATTTATGAGATTCGGTGATTTGCTCCATGTCTGTCATATTTCTCCGGCGATGACTTACATTTTCCTTCTCATTACAATTTCTTGTTCTCGTCATTACCTGTGAATGTAGGTAGACTGGCTAGCAGATCACTTATTTTAACTTTATCATCAGTTTTATTCGTCTCATTTTCTGATTGAAGCTCGAGATTTTCTTGGCATGCATGCAGCTCTTTCTCAAGTCTTTAAAAGTTCACAAAATATTCGCGGAAAGGGTGCTACTTTATTGGGATTTGTAAAAAAAAATGCACATATCTGTCCGAAATCAGCTAGAATTGTTGAAGCTGATCTTGCTTCTCATAAGGGAAGCTACCTAATTTAGCTTGGCCTTTGTAAAAAGCATATATAGTTTGAATCAGCTTCAAACGCTGATTCCAAATATGCTATTTCTAGCTACCACGCACCATTCCGAAGCAAGTTATGTGCCTTTCCCTACGCAAAATTGGCATACTACAACATGAGAAGAATGCTGAGAAGAATGCTTGTAGATGAAAATATGCAAGAAAAAGGTGATGATGTATTGAAATAGTACAAATCCAATCTTTTCTCACTGAAAAAAGCTTAACGCAGGTGTATCAGCACTTAAATGATGATAACGTGATGCCCGTGAGTCGATGAGCATGCCGATTTGGCGCAGAAAAAAGCACATAACTCGCTTCGGAATGCTGCGTGGCAGCTAGGAATAGCATTTGGAATCAGCGTTTGAAGCTGATTCAGACTATATATGTCCCTTGCCAAAAGGTCGAGCTAAGTTAGGAAGCTTTCCTTGTCAGTTGCAAAGCTTTGATCTGAAAAGTTACCTTTTTTGTGCAAAATTTCCACATTTCCAATATTCATCGACTTATTGGTAGCATGGTATCTTCTTATATTTACTAATGCACGTGCTTCAAGTTCGTTATTAACCTAAAAATACTCGATCTGATGTTATTTCGATAACGAGCAGCTTTTTTAATAATTCTCTATCTCCATACTTCCTTTCCATGATTAGTAGTATGCCAATCACGCACAGAAATATCTTGTAATTTTTTTTCGCAAAATGAAGCTTCCCAGCTAGGTGCAGAATTCTTAGACTCGGGGTTTCAAGCAGATGAATATATGTATGGTTCTTGATTGCCGCAATTCAATATGTTTCCTTGTTAGTGTTTTGGCTTATCACGCTTCTATAAGGTTTAGATGACCTTCGCTAGCGAAGACGATGCGCTTCGAATGCGCTGGGCTCTGGTATGTTCCGTGCCTGACGCTACACAAGTCGATTATCTGAGGTATTATCTGTCAACATTTTGGTTATTTCGATCGATATTGATTTTTTAGCACCTTTTCTTCGTGGTTTCTTGCTGAGGTCACAAAAGTGGCTGCAAAACTGAATATCTATGCACGTTTCGAAGAACGCCCAAAGGTCGCCATGCATGTGCCCGTTGGCGATTTCGACGCTTGCGCAGCTGCTTATGAGAAGATCCGACTGGTTAGCTTACCCCGGTTTTTCTAATATAGCTTCACGATAAAACGTTTTTTTTTTGTAGAATTGGCCTTCGGTAATGTTTGTCTTGCACATACTACCTGAGAAGAATTCTTCTGAATATGAATGGATGCGTAGTCTGAGCACAGCACATGGTTTTGTACGACAGGGAGTTTTACTGGAGAATGCGATGGATAAATTTGCTAGCGTAGCACAAAAGGGAGATGATCTCTTTACTGTATTCAGGTAAGAACATTTTGAGCCCTATATGGCAGATTACAAGTTTGTTTTCTAGTAACGTCGCTCAATGGGTCGCCCGTGCAACAAGCAAGCTGTGCCTTGATAAAGATCCGTGAGTTTTTTTACTTGCCTCCTTTATTTTGATCATATAAAGTATTATTTTATGGGTTCATACATTACCTATGTTACCAGTGTTACCAATATCGCCGCTGTTACCAGTATCACCACTGTTACCGTTGTTCATTGCAACTATTCTTTTCGTTACCGGTGATCATCCTACAGTCTGATTTTCTCCTCGCGATAGCGTCAACAAGTGTTTACCTTTTTCGTTATATCAGAAGATAAAAAAAAATGATTGTAATTTGGTAGCATTGGTAACACCGGCCATGTATGGTTGAACCCTGAGAAAAAATGGTTCTAACTTATGTTATAAGTTAGAACCATTTGTAGCATGCCCAGGGTTCTAACTTACATTTACGTCACGGCTAGTTCATCGAGCAGATTAGAATGTGATTCCCTCTTATGGGCCGAATGTCGTTGCGGATTATTTGTGCTTTTTATCTATGAATCGCAGAGGAAACGCTCTGGAGAGACGCAGAAATCCGGAAAGACGTTCCTCTAGCCAATCAACGAGCATTTCATTTGCTTAGTAAATTTGTGGCAATCATTGGAAAGGATCGTCATTTGAAGCCCCGATCAGACTTTGCTCAAAAGCGCCAAATTTCTATTTCTTCTTACACGAGAAAGTGAAGAGAAATTTGGGCGTTTCTGAGCGCTTTTGGGCGCTTTTGAGCGAAGTCTGGCCGGGGCCTAAAAGATTTGGTCCAGTTGAAATAGTTGAGAATATTCAGTGTAAATAAACCTTACGATCTCCGCGTTGGGAATGGTGCCGCCATGCCGGTAGGTGTCCGAATCGAACCGGATGCTATGCAAACCGCGGTAACAACAGTTTTATCCGGTTCTCAGCCTTTGTTGCCTTGTGAGTCCTTTAAATATAGCTAACATTATCCTTGACTTGAAGTTCAGCCTATTTTCCAGTGCATCGAGAAGAGTCTGCTGTAGTAGTGACAGGATTTCCGCCATCACTCAACGAATATGGTATCGCGCAACTGTTCCCTGGGCTCAAAGTAACGGGTGTAGTCATGTTGAACGATAAGGCTACTGTCACCTTTGCCACGAAGTTTTTGGCCTATCAGGTATGTTAATGCCTGAATTTGCATACTTAATTCATTCATTCTTTATTTTAGGCTTGTGAATTTAATATGAAAAAGATAGATAGATTCCATACACTGCGTGTCGAAGCGTTGTCTCAAGAAGTCAAGGATCAATTGGAGTTGACCAAGAAATAGCAAGTTTTCTGATGCCATCATCATGATAATGTAATGCCGGTTTGCTATTATGCACTGCTGTGTGTTTATGGGTTTTTACGTTTTCGAGTTTCTCTGTACATTGAAGATGCTTTGTTCTCATTTTTTTTACAAGTAATTGCTCAGGTTGTTTACCCTATATTTGCATTTCTGCTGCACTATTTGGACTCGAAGTACAGGTATTCTCGATTCCCTTGGGTTGAATGAAGATACGCTTTTGTATTTTTCTTCTGACAATTATTCTGATAGCTTGAAGCCTGGATAGATTGAATCACAGCCTAATCCAAAGTTAGTGTTTGGTTGAATGATCGACCTTATCTCTGGCCTCACTCTCTCACTAGGGCGTAAGTTTCCCAACTTGCTAGTGTATGTATGTCTCCCTTCTACTCTAACGTCATGGATTCGCAGTTGCGCTATGGCATGGGTTGAGGGCCGGCATTGCCTCTAATTGTTTTCCCCCATCCGCCATGGAAGTCATTACATGAGGCAAATTTTGAAAAAAATGTGCTCATTGTTTGGCAGACAATAGGTCTTTCCTCTTGATGTTCGCAGCGAACCCAAACACATGGAATTTTGGAGCTTCAACAGAAAAAAACCTTTTGCCATCATTAACACGTTCACGACAAGGCCGCTTTTTTGATGTCTTCCATTTCGGGCCAGAGCATATTTCCTAAAATTGAGTTTGTGTAATATTTTCTGGTCACTAATGAGTTCTGTGGTCTGAAGTGTTAATCTTTCGGTAAGTATATTAGAAGGTGTATGCAGAAGTTCACTCAATCTACTCAAGCAGTTTCATGCCAAAGTGGAAAAATCAACTTCAGAAAGCATACGTCCCACCGGTGGGTCGCATTGTCCGAAATATCAGGACACATACGACCCACTTCTGGGTCTATTGTTGTGAATGTGTAAGGAGTACGGCAGTAACATCTAGTACATCAGCTACATTGTGAATTGCCCCTATCTGCGGAGTTCCATTGTCACGTAGAAAGTAGACAATGGCGGAAATAGGAGAAGTGCTCTGAGATTTACATGTGGGAAAGGACGCCTATGCCACATCTTCATAAAAAATTCTCTCTGTTTTTCCTCATCTCTCCTCTCTCATCCCCATGAAAAAATTCAGGAACCAGACATTCTATCACTAAGCTTTTAATCGCAAACAATGTTTCAAATACAAAAATTTTGCTGTACCCTGTATTTATTAGGTTGGTGCAAAAGTTTTGTCAGTTTTTTCAATCCATCGGCAAACACGCTAGAATGAAGATAATTAAACACTTCAGAATAGATCCGATGCAGAATTTCTTCCTCTTTCCAGCTGCTAAACTGTCATTGCGTTTCGTTGCGAGAGTGACGAGATATTTGCTGAAAATTACAACCACTCGTTTTTACCATGTCCAAATTTAACTAATTTTCAAAAATTTTGTATGAGACTTTCGGAGGAGCCCTAATAACCACCAGATAGGGCAAACCTTTTGCCAACTTCTGCAATTTTTTTCTTTTTCTCAGCTGCTTTTTCAGAGTTTTGCTAAATAATTTTCTAAAAGTCTTGTGTTTTGGGAAAATCGCATAACCTGTTATTGCACCCAAACTCTGCAAAATGTACAGAATACTGAGGTTCAACACTTGATTATTACTACCGCTACCATTACAAAGTACATGAGCTATTTTCGCTTCAAATTAAGAAGATTTTGAAACATAGGTTACTGGCAGTGCGCATTCCTGAAGTTTAGAAATACTGCGATTTTCCCCACAAATTTCGCCTGTCTCGGCAAAAAAAGGCAAGTGTTAGAAGGAGGAGAAAAAGTTGCATCGAATGGTGACTGAATTGTTCAACATTTTAGGTTCTACGAGATTGAAATAGGCTAAATGTAAAATTTGGTCACTTCAAAAAATAAATCGTATAAATTCTGAAAGGCAAGCCGTAGGGCTAAAAAAAATTGCATAAGTTGGCAAAAGGATTCCCCTATCTGACAATTATTAAGGCTCCTACGAAAGTCTAATACAAAAATTTTGAAAATTAATGAAATTTGGACATGGTAAAAACGAGTGATTGTATTTTCCAGCAAATATCTCGTCAATCTCGCAACGAAACGCAATGAGAGTTTAGCAGCTGGAAAGACGAAGAAATTCTGCATCGGACACATTCTGAAGTGTTTGATTATCTTCATTCTAGCGTGTTTGCCGATGGATTGAAAAAACTGACAAAACTTTTGCACCGACCTAATATATCTGATGACTTAGCGTGATATACTGTAGAAAAAATTTTTCTCGATGATTTCCGGATACTTTACACTCTATGAACACTTCGCAATGTATAAGGCATTCATAAAATCGTTGAGAAGCTTTGGCGCTCAGCTCAGCCACTTCAAACGCCCAGCAGCTAACACATACATGCAAAAAAATACTTTGAAAGGAAGAGAACGAAGTAAATGCGACTGCTAGAACTGTGTGCGCGACGCGTGCGGCTGAGACCATTGCCAAGATTTTATGAGTGACCTATAAAATGTTGTAATTAGCGTGTAATAGAGCACATTACTCAAGTATCATGGTGAAAATTTCTGGTACCATAAGAACATTCTAGAATCATAGCTAATTTGCAATAACATTCAGGCCAGTTTATCACTTCCTACTAAGTTTCTAATGTAATGATAGGCGTCAGTCTTATACGATGGCTTGAATTAAGAAACCTGTAGAGAGCTCAAAGGCAGAGTCCCGGCAAATTTTCGCTTTTCAATTTCTCACCTGATCGGAGCCTTCTCGCCGTGAGGAATCCATATCTGAGCTTTCCAGCGCATGAAGATGCTGGGAATAGCTTTTTCCGAGCTTTTCAGGAGCTTTCTGCATTCAGTGGAAAATACGCGTAAGCAGGCAGGGCTCAGAACGAAGGAGGAGGAGCGCGGAAGACTTCTGGCGTATTTTTACTGATTGCGGACCTGGAATGCTTTGAGAAAGGCTCATTTTCGCCATTTTCATGCACTGAAAAGCCCAGATATGGGTCCGTCATGGCTAGAAAGCTCCGAACGAAATTTTGTCGGGGCACTGTCTTTTAGATCGTGTGAACATTGAGGCAAGAAAGCTAATAACCCTCAACAATGGGTATACTCTTGCCATACAATGTTCATCGGTAGCTCTCAACGTAATTTACATTCACATAAAAATGAATAAATCACTTTCTTGCTATATTTGTTTTTTTAACAAAATTGATCATTTCAAGAGGTTCTAGGTTGTCTGCAATAAATCTCGCTAAGTGCGCTAATGTTCTAGTCTATTCATCTGCCACTCATGTAGTCCATAGCGTAGAAGCAGGTGTCCTACGATCGAAAAGCGATCGCATCTGTCAGTGATGCGATCGTTTTTGGATGAGCGAGCACTAATATAATAATTTAGAAAATAGGAAAATGCAAGATATCACCTAAATTGTTGAGCCACACAAGTTGAAATTGTTCACAATATTCCGTAAAAAGACGTATAAAAAAATAATGAGCGTTCAAATCAACACGTAACCTTTGACTCAGTTGGCTTAGCGGCTGGAAAGCGGGGCTTTATGACCTAGTGAAGGCCGCTCCGACCGCGACACAGTTTGCGTCTCTCCCGCGCGCGTGCTCTCTGATCATCACCTAGCCTCAATTAGGTCACGAAGCCCCGCCTTCCAGCCGCCGCCATTTGGATCAAAGGTAAGTTACATTGCGCGCGAAGTTACAACAACAGTGGCTGTTGCAGAAATTTTTTATGAGGGGGAAGGAGCGAAAGAAATTTTTTTGCGAAACGAAAAAAAACTTCGGGCTCCAAGAATTCCAAGGGTTTTAAGAGTTTTCGCAAAATCAATCCACTGAAATGTATTCTTGCTGTCTGAAAATGAAGAAGAAAGTTGACTACACAGTTTTATACCTATTAAACCGAGTAGACTATTTTCAAAAATTTCGCGATCCACTCCTTGGAGAAGGATCTCGGTCCCAGGAACAGAGGATAATTGCAAAAGGGAAAGCTCTTCTTTTCATGGAAAGATTTCTTTTACCAACCTTTGTGATGCACTTTCCAAAAAAATCTTTGAAGATTTCTTCCTGCTCCATAAAATGTTGATTTTGAAAAAAAGTGTCAATTTATTTCTTTTGATGTATTTTTTTGGCGCTCTAATGCTTTAGCAAGTGATAAAAGAATCCAAGAAAGCATATGCAGGGAACACACAGAAATCTAACACCTGGCTGAAATACAAAACAAGTTTTTATAAGAACAACGTAAGAACAATTGCATGTCAAATGACTTGATAAATGGAATAACATACAAGAATTGGTTGTCGTCAGCTGTTAGAGTGTATACGTAGGTTTTGCATCAAAAATTACTAAAAATCTTAGAAATTTTTTCGATTTGTATAGAATCTTTCATGACACAATGGAATTGCATATTTTCATATTTTATTTTGGTAAATTTATGTTTACGTTCATCTTACTTATTGTCAATTTTAAGATCAAAATCAACAAACCAAATCAAAGGAAATCTGATCCAGACATCCGGTCAGCAGGAATTTTTCTAGGAAAAGAGCATGTCACAAATTTGAATTAGTTTTTTAAGATTTTTTTGCGACCAAAAGAGTGAGATTAAAAAAAAACATTTTTTTGAGTATAACGCGTATTGTATGTGACAACGAGAAACTTCTATTCAAGCTCTTCTAGAGTAATTTCTTTAGACTTGGTAGATAGAAGTTTTTGAAAAAATTATCTGGTGCAAGACTTATGTTTCAGCCTATCACTTTGGGAATTAGAAAAAACTTTATTAACGAAATAAAAAATGAGCTGGCAAAAAAAATCACATGGAAAACGACGAATTTTTATCAGGGAACTCAAATATAAAAATATGAAATTTAGGTTGAACTGTTTCTAAGGGGATCCATACCAAGAGGTTTAGCAAATTTGTGGGAAATATTTTTTCAACGGTTCAAAAATTAAGCTGATCTGCCAAGAAGTCACCTGGAAAACGACGAGTTTCTTCTAAAGGATTTAAGTCCGTAAACGACACTAAAGGATGGATTGCTTCCAAGGGAGGAGGGAGGGGGACTAGGGATAAAATTCCTTCGACCAATTCACGGCGATCGTAGCGTGCCAAGAACATCTGTTCTGGCGCTTTACATATTCATCAAATCCCAGCTGTTGCGGCTTTGTGCTTATGACATCCGGCTGTACTACTATCCGTTTCTCTAGCTCTCCCCCCCCCCTCTTCCAAACTCGTTTTTATTGCTCTTTCCTAATGGTAGTTTTCATATGATAGGGATTTTGCTGAAGATCTGCAGAAATTCAATCGCAATATAAATAAATGAAATATGAGATGAGCGTAGCCTCTACGATCCGAGCGGCTTTTGTCCCGTTCCCACCAAACATTACGATGGAACCAATCGAGGCTGAATTTGCTACTTAACACCCCCCCCCCCCCACCCTTCTCCCCGCCATGTTCTCACATTACCGACTAATGCCAGCATGGCGGGGGGGGGGTAGATACTGAGCGTATGTCGTATGTGTGTGTGTGTGTGAGTGTGTGTGGCCACGAGGACAGCGAGCCGTCGGGGCGCGAGCTGCTCTCGGGGCCCCATCACGGCAGCGGGGCTGACCACGCCCCACGGCTGAAGCGTCTCGTCTCGAGTCGAATGAGGCTGTTGTGGCTGTTCGTTGTTACGCTAGTGGAACCATTCGTCGATGGACTCACGGCTAGGGGTCCTTCAGCAGTACTACATGTGCAAAGTGCCCGGACTTCCGCAGCACATCCATTGCATGCTTCCGACGAGGTTACACTATGGTGTGCACCTGATAATCCGCAGGTGGGCGAATTGTTCATATATTTCACCTCTTAAGTTCATTTTCGTGCTCCAATGAGTTTTCCGAACATTTTCGAGTAATCTGTAAATTTTTTACGACTTCTTCTATTGTTTTGAGACATAAAATTTGCATGATCTGTAGAAATCACTATCTTTTCAAAGAATTCTCGATTTGGTATACACCTCAGAATTTTTTCAAAATTATTGTAAAGCGGTACTTCACTAGTTTTGAAACACAAATAGAAAAGATGGTCAGAATATTTTTAGGATAGGATTTCGCTCATTAAAAAATGTTAGGCAGCTGCAATTGAAACTGATTTGGTTTCTTTAGTATGGCCTCATTTTTCAATTTTTTTTCATTCACAAGGCAAAAGTGCGCTAATCGAATTTTTTTACAATTAACCTCGGATTTTGATTTTTCGACTTCGTGATTTTTTTGATAGAATTTTTTATAATGACAAACCTTACGCCTCATCTAAAGAAAATATAAATCAAAACAAAAAATTTTTGAACATTTTTTTATGGAATTTTTGGCGCTAGTTTGTGTGTGACAACAGTAAAATGATTTCGCGATGATTATCAAGAAGTTTCGGAATCATCAGTCTTAAAATATTTCAGATATTGGTAATTTTGATTATTTTGACAGAAAAGGAATTGGCAAATTTTATTCTTTATTTGAGCAGATTGCTGCTACCAATAGATTTACAATTTGTGCATCGAATACTGGGCCAGCTCACTTCTTCACTGTGACGTTACCAGCACTCCCTCGATATCCCATAGAAACCCCAATCTGTATGTATTCATAAAGAATCTCTGCTAGCTGTAGGGAGGCACATGCCACCAAAGAATAATAAAATTTGTCGGATGTCACATATAAGCATGGCAAGCACGGATTTTTGCAGATATCTGCAAATTTTATGCCCAACAAATGTTGCAGATGTCTGGAAATTTCATAACCATGTCAAGGGATTTTGCAGGAAAAAAGTAGGATAGGGTGAATCACGCGTAAATGGAGCAACAGATATTTTTTGCGCATTTCCCAAAATGTATCTAGGTTTGTTGAGTCATCGCACTTAATGTGTCAGTAAACATTGGCAGCTAAAAAAATTCCATGCTCCACTTACCTTGACGCTTTTATTTTATTATTGCAAACAATGCGATTGAATGGGGGGGGGGAAGTGATCTCTGTGAATTTTTCCGGAAAATTCTGGGTATGGGAACAGTTGTTCAAGCTCTACTGCAGAAAAGCACGTGAGAAGGAAAGAAAGCAAAAAAAATTTTTTTTTCTAGCTCTTTTATATAAGATTATCATAAAATAACTGTTTTAAATTCCCGATTATTAAAATTACCGCTTCAAACCTTTAGAAAATATAAAAAATAAAAATAACTGTTTCAACCCTTTCAAGAGTTTTTAAAAAGATATAAATCATGGAAAATACTGTTTCAACATTTTTGTAGAAGATTCTAGATTATAAAAATTACTGTTTTATATAGATTACAAAATTTACCGTTTTAACCCTTCTATAAGAAATATATAAAAACAACTCTTCCAGCCCTTCTAGAAAAAAATATAAATTATGGAAATTACTTTTTCAACTTTTTTATAGAAGGTTCTAGATCATGAAAATTACTGTCTCATTTGGAGTATAAAAGTTATCATTGCAACTCTTCTACGGAATATACAAATCATAAAAATAAGTGTAACCCTTCTAGAAAAAGTATAGATCTTAAAATTTCTCCTTTAACTTTTAGGTTTTAGATCATTAAAATTGTTGTTTCATTTAGAATATAAAACGTTTTAACCTTTTATAGGAAGTTTAAATCATGAAAATAACTGTTTCAGCCCTTCTGAAGGAAATATAACTCGTGGGAATTACCGTTTCAACCCTTCTATAGAAAATACAATTATGGAGAACTGTTCCAAGCCTTTTTAGATCAAAATCATAAAAATTGCTGTTTCAACCCTTCTATAGTAGATCCAAGTCGTAGAATTTACCGTTTTAGCTTCTTCATTCGCAGTACCATTTGGAAATTGGCAAAAAACGCAAAATGCAAATCTCATAAATTCCTATTCCAACTCTCCTCTTCAGATTACCATCCGGAAAGCGTGGTTCGTCCGAAAACGTGATAAGAAGCGTTTGGAAGCACATTTAAGTGCAAATAAGAAAAATGCCACCCTCACATTCACATCACCAGTCATTGGAGATGCTGGCGAATACACATGTGAATTGGACACACAACATGGACGTTTAAGCACACATATTCATCTCTATGGTGAGTTGGCCAAGTTCCAGTTTTTCATTTTGGCAAGTATCCAGATATCAGCATTGATTTCTTCGCAGCAAACTCTTACACAAAGAATTTGATTTCTAACACTTACTGATCGAAAATCATTTTCCAACATTTATATCCTCCTATTCCTACTCGTTCATCTCCAGTGAGTGACCTTTTTCGGAATATTACTGTAGTGTTATGGTAGCGGGATTACTGTAGTTGTAGGGTTGCTAGATAATAGAAAAGAGATGAATATCTACTCATCTCGTTTTATTGAATATTTTTATAATGATATTACTGTAGCGTACGGTATTTTACAGTACTCGAAAAATGCAAATCCTCATACAATCCTATGCAGCTATCTCTTAACCATCGCCTTCTCTCATAAATTATCTTAAGACGGAAGTTATCAAAGTAGTGAGCATCTGGCTTTGAACATCATCATTCTTAGCGAAGAAGGGACATAGAAGGGGGGGGGGATAACTGACTTTTCTTGCAAAATATAGTTTAGTTGTTTAGAGGAAAATCGCCACCCATAAAACTTCCTATTATAAGTATTATATTTGCATTGCTCCAACTTGACATCAGTTTACCTAACCTTTCTAGGCTCTCCTCTTCCCTAGCCCCCCCCCCTGGCCTGATAACCTGCTTTTTTCTGTAACCCATAAAAATGGTTTTTTACAAAACTAATTTATTTCTTGTAAAACTCCAAAAATCATTTTTTTTTATTTACAAGAACAGTCATCGCAATTCTATAACTCATGTAGGCTACTTTCAAAACTTCCCGACCCATACTTCGTAAGTGGGGGCTTTTTTTATTCCCTCTCCCTTTCTCCATCCTCCTCCCCCCTCCTCAAGCTCCTGTTGTGCATTTCTTCCTAAAATAATTATCTGGCAATCCCTCTTGTCCTAAAAGTCTTTCTGGCCGTTTGCCAATTTCTCTTCGCTCCTTCAGCGTCACTTCCGTCTCTTTTACCCATCGGCATGTGACAGCTCTTCTGAATGAAGCAGTAGTGAGTAGAATCGATTCTGCAACACTTTAGTCGTGCTTGATGAAAGAGACTTCAGAGCACCCGCTTGGCTTTCGATCGGCCCCCGTTTGAGCCGCGTGAGTCACGAAAACCATGGTAATTAGCGAAGCAATGCGTGATTAGCCGTTATTTTAGTTTGATTTTTTGGGGTTGTTTTTCTTGCGCTCGAAAATCGCAATGATTAGCAATTTGAGCTCAAGTGCTGTTGTCATAAAAATTGTTAGTCACGCGAGGAAAATATATAGTTTTTCAAAAATAGCATCAACCAGAAAAGAATTATGGCCACCTGTGGAATGTTGCATCTCACCCACTCCCCTAAAATCAGCATAAATACCTAAAAATGCTCATCCCACAAAAATAAGATGAATATAAAACAATGAGATTTTAGAGGTTTCCCAGTAAATGCGATAATGGTGGGTTTTGAGTAGTTATACATTCTTTTAGTGAAACCATGTAATCGTAAAAAAGGGGTTTACTCAGGGAACGATCTAATTGAGCAAAAACTCCAAGATAAGTTAATTTTGAATTGATGAAAAACTGAGAATTTTACATCTAGTCATTTTTTATAGGAAATCTTAAGTTAATTTTGAATTGATGAAAAACTGAGAATTTTAAATCTAGTCATTTTTATAGGAAATTTTTTCTGCTGTGGAGTATCTATTCAAATGTGTATACTAATCAAAAATATCAAAAACTTTCAGAATTTATGAAAGTTGTACTGACTAAAGAGAGATTATCTTAGGAATATATAGAATAGCCCAATCTTCAATAACTTTTATTTATGGAAAATGATTGTTACGCTCATATGTTGTTGACATATTCTATAGGAAGAAGCCATTATAAAAACCCTCCTCCGTTCTCCCTCCCCCGCCTCATCCCTATCAATCAGCCGCTGTTTATCGCCAGAGCTATCTTTTTTCCAATTACTTTCAGCCTCCTTCAGAGCTCATGTTGTTTTTGTTTTCAATTTTTTTACTTCACTCAGTAGCGCTTTCAGGTAATGATTTTGTCGGGTGAGGGGGAGAGGCGAGAACAAGCCCTCAAAAATTTTTTGGAAAACATCTGATTTTTCGCAAAACTTGGAGCAATTTAGAGATGTAAACAAATTTTCGCATTGTTGTTATGTTTTTTTGTGAAGTTCATATAAACATTTTGATTTTCCGGAAATGAATACAACTTACCATATTTCCATAACTCACGCAGACTACTTTTGAAAAATTCGTGACTCATTTTTGCGCCTTCCCCCTTTCCCTATTTTTCACCTTAAATTATGTTTTTGTCTTGGATTTACTCCCATAGCCTTCTCTCATGCTTCCTTTCACTCAATTCGATTTCTGTTACCATGGAAGCTAAGCGTAAGTGGAGAATATGTTCAAGCACTCACGACATGTCGTTAACATAACTACGCAGGGGGGGGGGCGAGAGGTCCACCTCAATTATGATGGTGAATTGGACCCATGGACCCATTGCTCCGGGTGGGGGAACGAAAGCCGCCAGGTCCAGCCGCCTTTCGCGGCCAGCTGGTCCTTTCGCAGCGTTGTTGCATGTCGTTCCAGGACCAGCAGTCCGCGGAGGCGGCTGGACCTGGCGGCTTTCGTTCCCCCACCCCATTGCTCCCATTCACCGATGGCCGAAAGGATGTTGAGTGAAGTGATTAGTAGTTGTCATAAAGCGTGCAAAGTCTGTAAAAATTAATCTGCAAGGACGGAACGAGGAGGAGGAAAAAGAAGGGGGGGGGGAGAGGAAGATTAAGAACTATAGAGCTTGCAAGCCATGGATTCTAGTTTTTCTACGCTACAAATTTTCCCACGCAGAAATTTCTATATTGGGCTTTCTTTGAGAGAAATTGGAGAAATTTAGTCTGACAATTTGTTATAAAGGTGATAGAATGACATTTTTGAAGCCATCGCTCACCTCCTGATTTTTTTCCCTACATTTCTCCCTCCCTCTTCAGCAATAAAACACATCTTTGACTATCGCCAATCAAGTACATTTTCTATGCAAATTTGCGACTTTGGATTTTCTCTCATTCTAGAGTTATGAAATACTTAGCTCAAGCCCAAATGAAATTTTGACATCGATAAAGTCAAAATTACATTTAGACCCTCTGTTTGAACTATCTTTTACACACATATGGTCCTTTTTCCATCTCGTTTTCTTGGCTGGAGAGCTACCGATAAAAATCCAAGCGTTCGAAAAAGCGTCCTTAATCACCCTTAAAATGAGGAAGCGGTGTGGGTTTGACAAACTCCGCCTTCTGCCACGCCCATTTTTCTAGTGTTTCACATTTGACGCAAAAAACGAAAATTGCAACTCTTTTCGTAACACTGCTTGTTTCTTAAATTGATTTATTTTTTGAGTAAAGGGGCATGGCGTTAGCCTCGCTTTTTAGAATTTTTTCTGGGATGACTTTGAAAAATTGCAGTGGGTTTATAACCCCCAACATTTGCGTCTACAACCCCCATTTGAGAGAAAAGGGAAACTAGTGGATTTGGAGTGAATGTCATAGTTATATTTATGAAGAAATAAAAGGCTAAACATCTTACGATGCAAAGATTCACTTCAATATTCAAGGAGCAAGGCATTACCAACCAAAGCAATATATCCGCATTTGCACAAAAAAGTGCACTTCCGCCCTTCTAAGGGCAGTAATGCAAATGACATTACTACAACTTTTCTCGCAAATAACAATTGTATTCGTAATGCCTTCAGTTGTAGTCTTTCAACGTAGATCTAATTTTTCTGCTTTTTTTATTCTCTGATAAAATGTGAGCTTCTATATAGGCAGAGTGCAAATCCATAGAAGGGCTTCCCTTGAGCTACAATTCCATCTTAAAGGCTTTATTTTAGCATGAAAATAAATTATTCTTATTGAAAAGCAATGGAGGAGGAGGAAAGGGGGGGGGGAATGCCCCACTGAACATGAGCCTTATTACACGACTCCTGTCGTCAATTACTCTCTCTTTCCACCAATGCATTACTAATAAGCGGATATGTCATATGGTAGTTTATTTGCATCAACACGCTCGGTTAATCGTTTTAGTCCCGTGTGTTTTCACTCCGCTTCGCGTATGGATTGGAATTCGAAAGCGTTCGGAACTCATTAGTGGAGTAGTTGGGTTAGCTGGAAGGAGGCTTTTGTTCCGAAAAAAGACCGAACAGATGTGGTCAAAGAGTGGGGAACAGGCGTTCGCTATGCTTTCACAACGCATTATCTTGCGATGGGGTAGGATCCGCCAGATGGCGAAAAATCCCGTTTCAAAATCGATTAACCATACCATTAAAAAACAAGAGGTAGGTTATGTGCAGCAAGGGGAGGGGAGAGTGGAAAGATAAATCTCAAAGATTCGAGCGGAATTTTGCTTCTTACAACCTACGAAACGGATTTTAAAGCTGCATCAACTGATTGAGCGTTGACTAAGATGTTAATCACTCTTTATTCACGACCAGCAAAGAAAGCACTTTTACTTAAAGTGCCTAATTTACGTGAAATGTGTGCTGATAAAATCAGTAATGAATGCTGATTTCAAAGCTGTAATTCTTATCTGCTAAAGGTTCTCTTCAAAACTTACAAGTTTGATCATGTATATACACCATTTGCTCTACGAGCACTGAAACATCCCCAGAGGACAAAGGATGGCGCAATGCGTGTGTGCTTGTTTATTGCGCAGAGGTTCGCAGGTTCGAATCCTTTCAAAGTCAGTGCTTTTGCGCGTTGCCTATAACTCCACAGGTTTTCGCAGAAAAGCATTCAGCAGATAAAGATTGCAGTTTCACATTCAACACTCATTAGCGACTTCAGCAGGACACACCTCACCTCAAATGGCCACTTTGAGTAAAAAAAATTTCTCGAAAGATTTCCCATAGTCTTATTGTGTTTCTCGCCCAAGAAATGACGCAATAAATGCCAGCTGCTTGTAAGTGTCGCTTTTCAAGAGCTTTGAGCGGAACATGCGACAAAAGAAATCTCTTAGAAAAACCGTGAAATTGCTTGCGTAACGAATGTGAGAAGAAGCAAAGTGCAAACAGCTGTTTCTCAGGGTTACATGGGTCCTGAATATAGGGATCTGTTATGCTATTGCTGCGTAAAAGTATGCAGGATGAAGCTAAAAATTGAATAAATAGTTGAGTAAATACTTGAGAATTATCGGAAAAATTTGAGCCAAATTACTGGGCCGCAAATTGCCAAATTTTCAATTTATTACTGTTTTCTTTCAGCTCGACCTATATCCGTCACAGACAATGATCATATTGTCGTCAAAGACAACGCTAATAGCAATGAGTTCCATTTGGAAGCCGAGCGTCGATATGTTCAGGTTCGTTTTTTTACTCTATCACCTTATCAATCAACATAATGCAGCATTTGTTGTGTTAAACTTGATTCGTGGCACGAAAATGAGCTTATGTGTGGGAAGAAGATTGGGGAAAAGGGTAGATAGATATAGGGTATCAGACGTATAATCAAGTATTCTTCTTTATTCTGGGGTCTGAATTCATAAACCATCATTCTCCTTTATCCAAATTTGACGAAATTGGAACCCTCGTTTGAACGGTACTTAATACATGAAATGATAAAATGCCCCATCATAGTAGCTTATATACGGCATAGAAGTAGAGTCTTAAAAGATTTTGTGAATAATGAATAAACCTTTTTTTTTGTACAAAATCTTAGTACCATACAACCCAAGATAAATATGTTCAGCTTTTGTCCGGAATCTTACCATTTTCTTGACTTATCCGCAAGTCATATGAAAGAAAAAGGACGGGCAATTAAGATAATTTTAGCGCATCATTCTTCCCCCTTTCCAGCAGCTGCGTTTCCAAACTATTTTTTGTGTCTAATATCTTGAATTAGTGCCGAAGATTTGAACGCATCGTTTTTTCCCGTACAAATCTAGCTAATTTTTTTGAAATTTTCACTTTAGTATTCTACAAAAGGTCTGGTAAGTAACGGATAGAGCAATTATGTTGCAGTGCATAACTTTTTTCGCATCTTGTCAACTGGATTGGTAGGATTTTGGAAAAAAATACCAAGAATTTTGATCTTCAAGAAAATCGCAGATCAAGTAGTAGCAAGTGAACTTCTGTTCCTTGTTCTGTCTACTGTTTTCGGAAATCTCGAGTAAAACAACTAGCGCTTGAAAGCAATTATGATAGACTTTGAAAAAGCTGCATGAATCGCAAAGAAACATCAAAAAGAATAAGTTTTACAACGAACGCTATTAATCCGCAAGTAATCAGTAAATCCAAGAAAATTTCGAATTTTGCCTAATTTACACATGGAAAAGACGATAGGTACAAACGACCTAATATTTTTACAATCATCACTTGAAACCAGTGCGGAAGGGTTTAGAAGCTGATACAATTTCTGAAGGTAAATTCTGCACAGACGAAGTAAATCAAATGCAAAAATAAAAATAATTCGCGGTTTTGGGCTGGGAGGGGGAAGGGGCAAACTTTGTCATTTTTACCATTTGTTGCTTCAATCTGCGTGCAGTCGCAACGCTTGGTGCAGTATTAATAAATGCAGTCTTCAGTCGATGCCAACTGTTAAATTGTTCTCCCCCCCCCCCCCCCCCTCCTTTCCCCCACTTTTTACGGCAACACTTTCATTCATGACAAACAATTAAGCACACGGCGAAGCGGAGCAAAACAAAAATCTCATTCGAGCGCTGCGCCAGGAAAACCTCGTAAAGATGTTGTTAGTAGATACTTATTTCAGCGAGGGAATCCGGTAAACATCACTTGTCCAGTGTTCGGTTATCCTACACCAGGGATCAAATGGACGAAGGATGGGAGTCCATTAGGTAAGCTTTACTCATTCTTCTTTGAGCAGCAGTTTTTCTTATAATGACGGCTAATATCCTACAGTACAAAATCCTCGTGGTTTAAATATTACCCTTAAAGGACGAATTTTTCTATTTTTTATGAATAGAGTAACGCGAATAATTATGACAGCAAAATTGTTTATGAATGGCATCGTTAATGTGCGACATTAAGCGCTTATAGACAGTACTCGCTAAAAGACTAAATTAGCCCTTCTTGCACTGTTACTTCCTTAATAAGTTTTTTTTTTTTGCGTCAATTACAGTATTCTACATGAAATTACCTTTAAATGTTAGGCAAATTTATGTGCATGTAAAATTACCACTAATTTTCTGACTTCTTTGCTACTAGGAGAAAAACTCTTGCATTCAAAGCTTCGCTGATTATGGCGAGCGTAGGAAGGGGAAAGGAAGCGGGGGGGGGGGGAATTTGAATTCGATTAGGAAGAGTGAGGGGATAGGGATAGGTCTTTTCTGTTCACAACTAAACACATATAAATTTTCAATTTCCGTATTTTCCTACCACTAGACGGAAATTAAGCAAAGTTACGACCTTCCCCGGAAGTCATCAGTAGTGATGGAAGATCGTCGTATTAGGTTATTACATAAGTCTTGTTACACGTTAATTTCCTACGACGCTAAGTCGTGAACTTCATAATTTTTGAAGCGCACTAGGGTACCATTCAATAGAGCAAGACAAAGTCTACAAGACAATATGCAAATGTTTGCAGCAGCTTCGACCCACTGTAAGTTTGCATCCAAAATCTGAGTTGTACTGAAGGCTCAAAAATTTTCGTTATTAAAATTTATTTTTGTTCAAAAAAATTCTCCGCATCACCCACTTGTTCAGACAGATTGCACACAACATCAGACACTCACAAGTACCGTTGCTGTATTTTTTCTTCATCTAGAAATTGAGAAAACGAAAATCTTATTTCTACAAAAACAAAGCTATGCTGTTTGTTTTCATGTAGCTGTACAATACAAGCCCTTTAGAAGTAGAAAATACCGAATTTATCTTTTTTCACTCGCGCGTTCAATGCTAAATTAGGTAATTTTCGAAAACTAGAGCTTCTGGAAAGCTGAAAATTTACGGTTATACTTCTAAGGGCTTGTATTATACAGTTACTTGAATAGAAACAGCATAGCTTCGTTTTTGTAGAAACAAGAAAATTTTCGTTTTCTCAATTCCTAGATGAAGAAAAAATACAGCAACTGTATGTATGAGTATCTGATGTGGTGTGCAATCCGCCCGAACAAGTTGGAGATGCGGAGGACTTTTTGAACGAAAATATAAATTTTTCATAATTTTTTGAGCCTTCAGTGCGACTCCGATTTTGGATGCAAGTTTACAGTGGGTTGAAGTTGGTGCGAACTTTTACATAACATCTTGTAGAGCTTGCTTTGCTCTATCGAATGATGCCCTGGAGCCCTGTAAACATTATGAGGTGCATGACTTATCGCCGTAAGTGAAAGGGTAACAAGACTTATGTAACAACCTAATACAATTAAAAAAAAAAGGTCGTCCCGAAAGTATTTTCGCTTTTTTCAAACAATGGCCACGGTCCGCAGAACAAACATCCGTAGAAGATCTTGGAACCATTCGATGCAGTTTTTTATGCCCTTTCAAAAGGTCATCTTTTTATTGCAGTTTAACAAAAGAGCTTTCAGAAAATTACCAAAAACTGCGACCCACACTTTTTACCAAGGTCAAGTTTCGCTATTTTTCTAAATTCTTGTATTGATTCTCCGAAGAAGTCCAAGTAACCTGCGGATAGAGCAAACCAAGTAGGATACAAAGCAATTTCTTTTTCCTTCCCAGATCTCTCCATAATTTTTTGACAAAATTTCAAACAACACTATCGAATTTTAGCAGACCCATACCGGACGAAGACTCGTCAAACTCTAAGAAATTCTCAGTTTTTGATACTCTTAAAGATAGATTAAGATTCATTACTAATTTTACAAGACAAATGAGCGTTTCCAGGTTCGAAATAACAGATTTTGAATTTTTCGGGTACATCTTGGGGCGCCATCAAAAACATGAATTTTGTCGATTTTGTCCTCTAAAAGTTCACGAATCAGAAACAAAAAACATGTCTCTGAAAGAGGAGAAGGTGCTGCATCGAATAACACCCGAGTTGCTTTCCGAGTGATGCTCTATGAGGTTCAAGTTGACGAAATATAGAATTTAATAGCACCAAAAAATATTTCTAAAAATTTTGTAAAGTAAGATTTGGAAGGGGCGAAAATTGTTTTGTATCCTACTTGGTTTGCTCTATCCGCAGGTTACTTGGACTTCTTCGGAGAATCAATACAAGAATTTAGAAAAATAGCGAAACTTGACCTTGGTAAAAAGTGTGGGTCGCAGTTTTTGGTAATTTTCTGAGAGCTCTTTTGTTAAACTGCAATAAAAAGATAAATATTTGAAAGAGCATAAAAAACTGCATCGAATGCTTCCAAGATCTTCTAAGGATGTTTGTTCTGCGGACCGTGGCGATTGTTTGAAGAAAGCGAAAATACTTTCGGGACGACCTAATAAATTGAAAATTAAACTAATCTCAACCATCGTTCTTCCTTTTTGAATGGGATAATCTGAAAAATACTTTGTGAATAGAAAAAAGGGAAAAATAAGGAAAGAAATGTTAGCGTATGAGTTCGAAAAATTCAATATATAAAAAAACCATTTTCTAAATTGAAGAATATTTATTAAGAGAAAGAGTGAACGAGAAGTGGCGTGGGCGGTAATCCTGTGCATTTAGTTGTTGATGTAGTGCCCTTACGGTGCCGACAACATTTGCGCGTACATGCGTCTCGCGGCAAGAAATTACGCGCACATGTTGTCGCTGATGCAAGCACACTATTAACCGTCACACCTATTATAGGCTATAGAAACTTCACCTTTCATTCTTCTACACAAATTTTGTCTTTTTTACCAAAATTACAAAGTTTTCTAAAAATATAAATTTTCCACCTTCTTTTAATGACTTTGTGCTTTTCAGAGCTCAGCGACAAAGTTAGCCTTGAAGGGATTGCAGTGCAAATATCTGAGGCTGACTATAAACATGCTGGTCTTTATGTATGTGAAGCAATAAACGAATACACAGCTGGTGGAAAAACTAGTAAACCATTAGTGGTTATTGAAAGGATATTAGACGTGAAAAGTAAGTTAAGCGCTTCAGTTGCATTGTAAAAAACGTAAAATTACACTTCTTGCAGGCGAATTAGCTTGGATATATCCACTGATTGTCATATTCGTTATATTACTCCTATTATTCATTATTATTGCGTTCTGTGAAGTTAGGAAACGACGACTGAACAAGCAGTACGTCATTTTTTGAATAGATTTTGAAGAATTTTATCTTTTCAAATTTTCAGGTTACGGTACCACGCCCAAGAGTAAATTCCTACAACGAAGAGCGCTCCATTTGCTGACTGCCTCAATACTGCTCATGGCCTTGTCTGATTATTCACGATGCTTTCAGTACTTTCCGCAGTTAGAAATTCTAGTTAACTTAGTCCTTTCTCTTCGTCTCCCCCCCCCCCCCCCCTCCCACCCCCTCCACATCGCCCGTCGTATTATTTTCTTCACATATTGCTTTTTTTCGCACACTTTATGCCCCTTACGATTGCATATATAGAGCGTCGAAAGCGGATCTTCATCTATGGCTTGCTATTTCCACAAGCTCTCAAGACCACAGTATTTACCATATTTGTTTGTTGTTTACAATGTCACTAATAAATGTGTTTCGTTTGAAAGCAATCATTCTCAAATTAGAAGTCGATAAAATCAGCATTTATCGGCTCAAAAAATTGTTTGTCATCGGGATGATAGGCATCAAACTGAGCAGAAAAGCTCGTTTGGTCAAGATTCGTTACAACCTGGCAGTGGTTCAAAAAAATTTTGGAGGGGAAATAGGGAGCGGGGCGCACACAATCAAAGGGGCTTTGCATTGGCCACTCCCCTGAAAAAGTTTTGGAAGCATGCACAAATTTTGCAAGCTTCTAATCCAAAATTCAAAATTCCAGAAGAAAAGGGAGACGTGATAAACAACCTCGCACACGAAGAAACAAGGGATTTAATTTTATGAAAAATTCAAGCCTTTTAATCCTTTGCATTTGAAAGCAGATTACTATGGTCAAATCACAAATTGGAAGTAGTTTGTAACTGAAGCTTTTTGTAACCTTGTAGAAAATTTTAAACACTTTTTCCCAATTCAAGCTAGAAATTGGCAAGAATCCAGAGGTTTAGAAAGTTTTTAGGAAGCGGTGGTTATCGACAGCTATGATACCCTTTGATTCAACTGGCTTGGCGGCGGAAGCGGGGCCTCGTGACCTAATTAAGGCTAAGTAATAATCAGAGAGCACGCGCGTGAGTAAGATGCAGACTGCGTCGCGGGCACGAGCGGCCTCAGTTAGGTCACGAAGCTCCGCCTTCTAGCCGTCAATGCACTTGAATCAAAGGGTATACGTTCTGTTGCTCCACACACCTTTCAATCCTAAAAAATGCGGCTACCATATCAATCGCATCCTGATCTTCTTGCACTCTTTTGGAGATATCACATTTTCATGGCAGCGATGTATCTCTAACGTTCGCAATTTATTTAGTGCTTAAAACAGTAAATTTCAACGAATCGGTGTCACTTTCATAAGTTTCAGGGCCTGCGGCGTTACAAAAACACCCAAAGTTTACAATCGCATTTTGCTCTTCCTTTTTTCAAAAACACTAATCACCCTATGTTATTTGTATCATGTAAGCATGAAAACTTTACGTTAAGCTCCTGAAAATAATGAAAAAATTGTCTGGCCTCATACGTGTCTTAAAGAAAAACAAGCTGAGTTTATCATGTTTGTAACTCATTTAATAGATATTATCAATAGGAGGGGGGGGGGGAGAAGCAGCTAGCGGTAAACTAACAACTGAACATGATTCCAGAACTACAAGGTTAATTTGACTATTTCTGAAGCGTCGACAAGTTTTTTCCTCATCAAATTTGACCCGCAATGAAAATTATGTCCACAGTAAGGACTGCTCAGAATGCTTATTATGAAAACCTGTCTAGTAACCTAGGTCGAGATAATATCGTAAAATTCCACAATCAGAGCTCGGTACAGCTGGCACCTGGTCAAGCTAGATATCGTTTTTAGGGCGGAAAGCAAAGGGGATATCTTTTTCTGAGGTCCGAAGCGGAGAAGTGCCGCAAGAATGCCACCGGCATGCCACCGGCATGCTGTCCATCAACAAACAAAGGCGTTGTTTTCAGCCAAAACGCAATAGTATGACACCAAATTTGGTGTGTGCATGCGCGTTGGTGGACCCGAACTATGCCCAAAAATTTATGAAAACTTATGTGAATGAAAGCTGTGCCGAACTTTTTTCTGAATTAGCTGGCACCGTGCCAGCTGGGTGCCAGCTGAGCTGGCACCGACACTTTGCACACAAGTTTTCATACTTTTTTACATAAAATGTATCTACACTATAAAAGTTTACATACAGAGAAGAAACAATTTCATAATGTTTTCTTTTCAGCGTTTTATAGCCATCTGAAAATTACTCGGTCTGCTCTGCAGTCGAAAAATCGGCTTTTTTTGCTTCTCAAGAAGTGACTCAATCACTTAAAAAGCTCAGAAAGCTGTGAAAAGTTGTTCCATGAAATCAGCATGCATGAAAACCCTATACATACTTTTACATAATCTAAAAATAATGGCGGGTATTCAAAACTGGTCAAAGGGGACTTCGTACAAAATTTTCAAGATCAAACAGGACTTCGTTTTGGAATTTCCCTGGTGCCAGCTCGTGCCGAGCCCTGTCCACAATCGTTCTTTCCATCGAATTGGTACTCAAGGCTTTCTTGCAGTGCGCTTTGAGCGTATTAGTCATTAGGTTTAGCAATGTTGTAGGGACGCAGCCAGGCTTGAACAACTCCCTCCCTTAGGTCGACTGATGAAGCCCATCCATTACCCGTGACCCCAAACCACCGCTCGTCCGAAAGTCGCATCAGCATCCCTTTCCGTCTTCCCATCTTCCGGAAACTCGTATACAGTGATATATGTAACCAGTGCTTCACCTCTGCTTCGCAGAGGCTCGCACTGGCCCTACTATCGTATGCCTTACTCATTCTCGCACAATAATGATATTGGAACTCACCGCCGTATGCAGACTATCACGAATGATTTGTAAACAACTATTCATTCCAAAAGCTTTTCCATATGAGATCGGTAATTTCGCATGAACGAAACTTTTCTCGAAAGAACAAATGCAGATTTGAGTCGGTTTTTGGACTTTTCATGGCTTGATATTCGCGCTAAGACGCCATAATCACCGTGGGCTACATATCTGTGCAAAAATCTTCTCAAACCATCGGGTAAAATCTTGGCAAATTGAACATTTACGCAATTCTTTTTGGCGCCGTTTTTGCAAAGTAATAAACTTTAGTTCAATTTTTAGGCTAAAGACCATGGCTTGCACATTAACATGTCAAAAATATCCTTAAATTTGCAAAAAGTTGCGCAACAGACTCAATTTTACTGGCCGAAAGCCAAGTGAATCATCCGCTCGTGCTTTTGCATAGTAGACTCTCATGTTGGTAGCAGGCGCTGTGCCAAAAATCTGCTCAAAACCTTCATTGGAACTCGCTCCACGAATTTCGTGACAGACAGGGATTCACACAGACAGACACACGAACGTTAACAACCCTTAGCCCTTTATTATAAGTTACTAGTGCGTCACCTCCGCTTCGCGGAGGTTCGCACTGGCTCCCTATCCGTATGCCTTTCTCATGTTCGCATGAGAATGACTTTGAAACTCACCACGCGATGCTGAGAATCACAAATGAATCGTAAACAACTGTTCATTCATGAAGCATCTCCAAGTAAGATCGGTAATTTGGAGAAAAAAAAACTTTGTTGCAAGGAAACAAATGCAAATTTGAACGGACTACTAAATTTATTTTAGTTTGATAATCGTCATAAGTAGTAGTCACCTTGGGCTACATTTCAGTGCAAAAATCTTTTAGTTTTTTTAAATAAAATCTTGCCAAATCGGCTATCTACGCGTTCATCACTTTTTGGCGCTGTTTTCGCCAAAAAGCAAACTTTTTGAGCACTTTTTGGGCTAGAATTCATATGTGGTGGTTCAGTGGGTTTTTGGGGGACTCTTCGATGACTCAGCCAACACTTGGGGAGTAAGAATGTTTATCAGAGCACAAATACAGCCGGCTTATTCCGGCACACGATACAGTGAAGAGTGAGGGGTAAAGTTGGCCAGCAGGAGGCTGGCCCTAACGGGCACAAAGAGTCCGCCAGATGGCGGACTCTTTGTGAAAAGTTTACATGTAAACACAATGGTCACAAAGAGTTACAATTTGGGCATGGAGTCGTGTGTTTATCACGACACTCCCCCCCAGACAAAAAATTAACTTTCCGAATGAGGAATTTTCTCATTCGGCATGATGAAAAAAAGGGAAAAACAGAAAAAAGGAAGGATGAAAAAAAAAAGGGAAGGGATATTTCGCAATGGGTATAAGAACAGCAAGAAACAGAGAAAATGATATGGAAACAGCAGAATTAACAACAAAATGTTACAAGGAGTTACAAAAACGTATAATAGAGGGGGGAAAGGAACGGAACAACAAAAATAACTTGTCGAGTGGCCGAAGACTGGATGCGATGTTGAGGCGAAGGAGAAGTGGAGGGTACGTAGTTGCGGCGGAGTTGGGCTTGACGAACTGGAGAAGATCTAGATCAAGTATATTATTATTGAAATATATAATAAATCATTCCCTACTGGGATATATGGGAATATTGAGTGGTACTGGATGCCATATTCGAGCTGATGCGTCAGAGCAGACGCATAGCAGACGCATATCGTCTTTCAAGGATTTGATTGACTGATATTTCAATTTTAGACTGATATGCTTAACGCGCGTCTGCTCTTGCGCAAGAAGATGTCACCCTGGCTGCATAAAAGGGTGATTAAGCCGCTTCTTCAGCCATTTGCCTATTTCTTCCTTATTTTTTGCTATCTTTTTTTCTTGCTTGGTCTTCCCTTATGTTGCTACTCTAGAGTTAACGCAAGATGCCCGCTGTTAATGAAGTAGCGGCCGTGAGAAGTAACCAGGTGAGTAATTAAAGATATGTTCATCGCATTTCTTTTTACCTTGAGGGTTTTTGTGGCTATTTTGTGAATTAATTTTTATTTTTTATAATTACAGGACTTCATCGATAAGGACAGAGAAATCAATATGCTCCGTAGGAAACTGAATGCAGCCGAACGGGAAAGGGATGAGTTCAAAAAGGTAAGACATTTTTGTTCCATGTTGTGAATAATTTGATAAGTATTTTCTTTTTAGAGCGCCGAGGAGTTGACTGAGAAGTTGTCTAATGAGCGATGGACGTCAAGGGCCAAACAAGCATGGTTGAAGAGGTCAATGGAGGACATGGCATTATTGGAAGCGGCTAACAATGCTCTGTCGAAGGCTATGTCCACTCTGCGA